TACTTACATACTTACATACTTACATACTTACATACTTACATACTTACGTACCTACCTACTTACTTACTTACTTACCTACTTACCTACTTACCTACTTACCTACTTACTTACTTACTTATTTACTTACTTACTTACTTACTTACTTACTTACTTACTTACTTACTACTTACTACTTACTACTTACTACACACAACTTACCACTGACGACTTACCACTACTACTACTACTACTACTACTACTACTTACTAGTACTACTAGTAGCTACTAGTACTACTAGTACTCCTAGTACTACTAGTACTACTAGTACTACTAGTACTACTAGTACTACTACCACTACTACTACTACTACTACTACGACTACCACTACCACTACCACTACCACTACGACTCCTACTACTACTGCTACTCCTACTACTACTGCTACTCCTACTACTACTACTACTACTACCTACTACTACTACTACTGCTACTACTACTACTACTACGACTACTACTATTACTACTACTACTACTACGACGACGACTACGACTACGACTACGACGACGACTACTACTATTACAACAACAACAACAACAACAACTACTACTACTACTACTACTACTACTGCTATTTATTTGCAGCAGCTTGCAAGTCAAATTTCGAATATTGCGGGTGTTATATTGAGAGATTAGAACAATCCATCAAGGACACAACATTTGTTTTTGAGTTCACTGAGCGCATCCTTCAAATCTCTCGAGCCGAGGGTTTGTGTAGAAACACGTTTTTTCATTGAACGCACGACCGTGACGTCCCTCACGTCCCTGACGTCCCGAGCTTCCACGTCCCGTCCTTCACGTCCCTCACGTCCCCCACGTCCCCCATGTCCCGTAGTCCCACGTCCCGCAGCACAGGACCGGCAATCCCCGGCTCCAAGAAACCACACCAAACATACAGTTGCACAACATGAACAAAGCACATCAAACACATATATTGGCCAACTTGATACCTGAAGCAGCATCATCATACAATAACATGATGTTGCAGGTCTGCAAGTGCAGCAAAGGTGTTGAACACCATATTGCACAACATCATCGCCCGGGCAACGGCCATTCTCTTCTTTGAGGTCTTTCATCATGCTTCCGCTTCCGCATCGAAACAAGTTCCTCAAGCATCGAAACAAGTTCCCAATGCACCCGCCAGTCTGTGTCTGCATCGATGACGACGCCTTCGAGAAGATGACTGGCATTCAGAGCAAATGGGATGTTCTAGAGGACCCCATGGAGGGCGATGCGGTTCTTGAAGGAAAACGCTCCAAGCAAAGCGAATGTCTTGATGAATATGATGACATCAATTTCCAGTCCCTTGCCCCCGAAAATGCACAGACCACATCCAATGGCCAATATGATGAATTGAAGAGACTCCTGCCAAGCAAAAACACCAAGGCGCTCTGCCTTGAGGGTGAACAGTTTCTTGAGTTCATCGCCTGATCCTTTCTTCCCTAGCCACCGCAACCGGTTGGCCATTGCAGCTTGGAGTGTCATGGGCTTGAACACCAGACCCACTGAGGAAAACCCATGAACAAATATAGATCATCCCCAACCAAGTTTGAGTCATTGAGCAAGAACTTGGGGTTGCAAATAGGAATGATCCCAAAAAGGGTACAGGGCCTCCACTGCTTTCATTTTTTCCAAATGAATTGCATCCTTCTCGCCGGCCTTCATTCCGAGGTCATAGTTGGGATCCTCAGTCTTGCGACCCTTTCCCAACATGAATCATGAAGGGCCCGGCCATGGGTTCACTACGTGGATTTTGTGATGCACGCATATCATATCTCTATATTATATATACTGTATAGTTATATATTATATAAGACTCAAACTGAAGGAATCTGAAGGACCCGCAGCAAACCCTTCTGATCCAATCCACATCTAGCTGCCACACACTAGATGCAAGTAGTACGATGGTCTTTATAAGTGCCTACGTTTGTTTAACAATTCATAACAAGTCTGCATCTTTGGTATGACTTCCACCTTGGGCCCAAACTTCTTTCTGGTGATGTCACTACTTCAAACGCTACTTTCTGGTGGCATTTTGTGGCCTCCAGCCAGTGATTTTTGCTCTGCTCTCGCACACAAACACGACCTCACAGCAAACAAGACCTCAGCTTTTTGGGGGCTTCCTCGCTCGCATCATGAGGAGCAGGAAGAACTTCCACTGCTACCCCTTTGCTGTCTTCCCCTTTTTGCCTGCCGGAAGACAGCAGACTAGAGTACAGACTGGAAGAACTTCCCCTTTTGTTCCTGACCTTGCTGTCTTGCCATTTCCAGTCATGTATTCCTGACCACAAAACCGTCTGGTGTGGATTCTCTGCTCCTTTCGTCGTTCGTCACGTTCTTCGTCCGCGGAACTTGTGATCCCCGGAACGGTCAAGTGGTGCCCCAAAGGATCATTCAATGGTACCAATATAATATTTATATATAGCGATACTATAATGCATAAGGATTATCTTATATAACAATATGTGTATATATATATATTGATGTATAACACATTTTAACCATAAATTACCTAATATTGTATAATGATATATCTTAAATACAATATGTAATATATATATATAGACCCATATTAATCGATCTTGACATATAAGACTTGATTTCCAATAAGGTTGAAACACCCCCCAAACAATGGTAAACAACAATGTCCTTGTTAGTTAACACAATCATTGCGTCCAAGATCATCTTTTAAACTCGGGCTGCCTCGAGCTCGTAGGGTTGCCCAGTCGCCCGGTCGCCCGTGGTCCCCTTCGGTCCCAGGCCCAGCCGGTCTTTTTGACCTCGGCACACAACACAAACGTGACACGCCGGCTGTGGGAGAACGTCTGGCGGCGTTTCTGGGGTCATGGTGCATTTTGGTCTGGTCATTCTGTGGGTCATATTCCCCAGACCAGACGAATGGGACTGGAATAAGTGACCTACATTGTGGTCATATGAAAATGAGGTTTTCATGTCATGTAACTATTCCAGTCCCATTCGTCTGGTCTAGGTTCTTCCGGAGGTCTTCACAGCGACCCACATCTTCTTCGATGTGCAACAAATCGGAAGCCGCGGCAAGCAGTATCAACAAGATTCAACAAGTCCATCATCTTCCCTCAGGGGGGGAGATGTTTAGGTACTGGTCACCCCCCTTTTTCCGCCTCATCGGGAGGGTCGTCCAAACCGGGGGTCGTCACGGCGCCACGTGAGAGACGATGCCTCTCGAGACGATGCCTCTCGAGACGACCAGGTGAAAGGTCTACAGCTTCGTGGACAGGTTTAGCTGAAGCAAGGAGTCTGGAGCCAACGGGTGGCCAGTCAGTGCACACCAAGGACAGGTAGTGGGCTTCTTGCAAGGTCTCTCTAGCAGGTTAAATCATTAATAAATCTCTTTTTGAAGGTGAAGGGAGGTCATCCACGTACTTCCTGGGTAGGTCATTGGGTGCCCAAAGAGCTTTTGAGATGCGGTTTGTTCAACAGGCAGGTCTGCGGAAGTCTGTGCTGTAATGGAAATGGAGTTGTTCCCAAATACATCAAGAGACTTTCCACACCCTCTTCTTGGGTCGCCAGAATTCCACAAAAACACACCAACACCGTAGGTGGGTGAGGCTCTCACTTTTTAACCGACCTCGCCCCACTTAGCGCAGCCAAAAACGTGTCATTCGATACACTGAGAGCTCCAGCAGAACCTATCCTCTTGGGCGTCATCTTGGGCATGAAGAAGAGCCTGCGAAGCTGGTCGCGTCGCGTCGCGCGTCGCGACTCGATTCGTCCGACGCCACACCCAGCGGTCTCAACACCGACGCAACACCTCGGATCCGTGGGATCAGGAGGTCCTTCCATCCGCCGGTCGAACCAAAGAGAGATAAGAGAGATTCGTTTGTTTTTTCGCACCGGACGGTGGTTTTCAGGTTTTCAAGTCTGAGTGTAGGGCAAAGGCAACATCAAATGCATTCTGTGGTTGTGTGGATGGGGAATCGCTGTTTAAAATGCTCATGTCAAATTTGAGCATGGCATGAAGCTTTATGATCCTGGCGAGAGAGACCTATGTCCTTGGCCTAGGCTACCTGTCTTTTTGCAGCTCGCGGTGGAGTGCGGTCGTCCCAGAAGGGCGCACCCCAGACATTGAGATGCTCGTGAAAGATCCAACCCCAAGTCCAGTCGGACGACCCAGGTCCAAACCTGATCTGCTTGAGTGTTTGAGTATGACCAACTTGAGGCTATATGAAGCTAAGCGGCTATGTAGGGAACAACTCATCAAACATCTTAAACAGTCTCATCCAAACCAATCACATACACATGGGTCGAACTTAGCAGGCGACTTCGGCCCCTGTGGCCCGGCCCCATTTGAAGCCTCAGTTCGGACTCAGAGGCGCCTTCCTAAGCACAGGATGCACCCGAGGATCAGCAAAGTCAATAAGACCCATGGCCACCTGAGATGGGCAGCTAGGCGTTACCCCAGAGGAGATCACCTGCAACAAAAACATTCATAGCTTCAGGTAAGCAAGCAGCGAATTTGTTGGGGTTTTGCTTTCTACCTGTGTCACTCTAGGACCTGTAGCCCTGCCTGCCATTTGTTCCACACTCAACAACGATCTCTCAGCATGATCCAATCTCGGCGGTTTATATGGAACCCAATCAGTCTAGGACAACTTTGGGTCTGTGCCATCTACTCTGAAACCACTGTAAGCCTTTTCCATATGTTCCACCCTCCATGTGATCAATAGAGACCACAGACTCTGAACAGCTCTGGATCAGTCCCATTTTTCCATTTTATAATGAGTGGGGTGGAGACCCAATTCCCGCGCAACAAAAACGCTTTGGCAGGTCCGTACCCGGTGAGCTCCGAACAGCCCCTCATGGGTGCTCGACGACTCTACACTACGTACTGCTACTGCTACTGCTACTCCTCCTCCTACTACTCGTCCTACTCCTACTCCTACTCCTACTACTACTACTACTACTACTACTACTACTACCAGCACCTGACTCTACAGGTCTCCGAGATGCAGGTGGTGATTGTGGGTCGCAGGTGGTGATTTGTTGGGTCCTGGTCATTGTGGGCTCCTTCAGGCTCCTTCAGAACCCCCCAAAACTTGACGGGTGCATTGTTTTGAAGCGACCGAGACCGCCGCGCGGTTCGACTTCGGAGCCTTGAACCTCTGCCTCACTTGCGTTGCATGCTGAGCTTCCATGTGTGCCTCACGCCCCTCTGTGCCCGGCGCTCCTCGGGCCACCGCTCCAGCTCCTCCGGCTGCAGCTGCCGTAGCCTGGATCGCTGCTGCAGCCTGGATGTTTGCAGCTTGGCCAATGCCCGCTGGGACCGTCATGTCCTGCAACTGTAGAACCACAGATGCCACTCCATGCTTCTGGTAAGCAGCACAGGAAGAGACCCCCAGCGGCGGCTTTGCAAACCCTCTTCAAGTCTGCCTCTGCTGTCACCTTGCCCACGTAGTCTAGCGGCTAGCGCGTCCATTGTCTCCAGCATGGCGCGGAGCTGAGAAACGTGCACGTGCGCCCCAACTCTCGTCATGATGGCACTCGCCTTCAACTGAGCAAAAGTGTTTGCAGCCCAACTGTGGGCTGCAACAACTCCCACTGAGCCGCCTGAGCCAGAAGAATCCCGGGTGGGATTGTGTTCTCAGAGGCTGGCACACTAGAGGACCTGCCGTCCTCATGATGGAGGTCGGCAAATTCTTGGGTCCATTGGTGAGAGCCTGAGCTGCTTTTGAAAAGGCAACAGCTGGCAAGGCCTTGATCGAGGTTTGCCACGGGTCCTCCAACTTTGTTTGCTGCCTGAAATGCCATTGCCGCAGTGTGGATCAGATCCAAGATCCTGATGTAGAAAACGTTCCAAGAAAAACAACTTTGACGGGGTTAGCGGCTTGAAGCAGTGGGCTTGGATTTGGTGTGTTTGAATGCACAGGCGTGCGGCGGCAAAGCACCAATCAGGCATCTCGCTTTGGTAGGAACTTGGATGTAAGCGAATTCATAAGCAGCCGGGGCTAAGCACCCATCGTGCTCCACAGTTGACTGATATCCCCACAGATTATGTCGTTGTTCCCCCAAAAGGATGTACAGTAGGAGTTTCCCAACAAAACTCACTAGACCTTTCTTCACAAGCCCATGTCCAACAATATTACCCAATATCCATATCATTCTGTGGCACAAGGGAAGAACAACAAACAACATTCTCCTCCCTCTGCATGTTGCAAGTCCTCTAAGAGCTCCGGCCAAGCGAAACTGGAACCTGCGGAGGCTGAGCCGCAAGAGGCTCACTTGATTCAGGGTTCCAGGTTCACGTGGGTCAAACCAGTGTGAGTCAACTCGCTGGTTCCCACACGACATTGATATTTGATACATATATAGGTTGACGGTATAGTGAGAAACTGAGGAACCTCGCGCAACATTGGGAAACCAAGTGTCTGAAACTTCACCAACTTAGATAAAGTTCATGACTGTTGACGAACCTTTCCCAATTGAAGCCAAATAAGTGAGCATTTGTTCGGTTGGCATGGTCAACTTTCTGTACCAAAGATCAGTAGACTGAAAATAACAGATTGAACCGATTGAGCCTCCGAATGACATGTAGCAAACATGAAATGCTTGGCATGCTTGGCCTCCCATGGCCGGGCGGCCCAGCAGGATTCTTGCTTTGGTTCACCCATCTAGGGCCCAGGTTGGGCAACAGATTGCCACCTCCATGTGTCAGACCTTGGCATGAATGTGACAAAGACCGTTTTCAGATTCAGGCTGTGCTCAAACCTGATAAAAGACTGGACCCCACGAAAAGAAAGGAACAATTTTCCAATAGTATATAATAACAATGGTTCCTTTATAAGAAACGCACAAAACGAGGTTTTGGCATATGAACAATATATATATATATTTTTTGCTATTATAGCTCAATTTTCACATATGAAAGCAAGAAGGAAACAGGTTTATGGAAGATTGCAGTCCTACGTACATCCCGCACTTGTCCAGTCGTGGTCTGCCTTGAGTTGCTCCCCTAAGACCCTTAGACTGTTGAAGTTGGAGAGAACACAAATTCTTATGGCGGGATCCGGACCCGAAACAACACATAAACTGGCGTATTCTTCTTCTTCTTCCTTCCTATAGGTTCGGTTTGGGCACAACATCCATCACTTTTCTGTTCGGCTTCGACGTCCCCGGTCGGGGTTGTCAAACGTCTTCATGGCTCGGTCGGCCCTTAAGAACCTCCGGACCTCCGCGACCCTCTGTGACATGTGCCACCGAACCGAGCCCAAGGCCCGGAATCCCAAGGCCCAAGGGAGGTCCGGGTAAGATCATGAAAAGTACCAACATGCAACCCTCAGACCTGGGTTCTTTCCCACCAAAACTGAACAGACTACGAGTGACTAGGTCCACCGTAACACACGGATTTGTCGGGGTCGACTCGGTGCCATGACCGCCATGTGAAAATTACTGACTCTTTCAGATCGATTTTTGGAGGAAAGGTGAAGGAGTTCTCTGGCATACTGTCACGAGTGGACAGTAGAGTCAGCGACACTCTGGTGGGCACGACTCACAAGGAGTTCCACCTGTTCTTGTTTGATAGGGAGAGCAATCCCAATGAAGGCAGGTGATCCACTTTGATGATCCACTTTGATGAATCATGATGTTGTTTGGTCATGTTTTTCCTCTTGTTTTGCAAGGAACAAACATCAAAATTCCTTCCGGCTGAAGGCAGGTTTTCTCCACGTACTTCCTGGGTGGGGCTCATCCGGTGAACGAGGACCGGCCCATCTGTGTGAGGACCGACGCCGAGGCGGGCGTGAGGACTAGCCCAGCCTCCGACGTTGGGCACAAAGCCGAAGGGCTGATCCACCTTCCTGGAAGACGGTGAGTTCGGCCGAACCATGGTGGCTTGAGTTATAGTCAGCAAAAGTAACAAAAATGAACCTCAATTATACTATGCTGTAGTTGGGAACCCTCAGAGGGTGCCAAACACCAATTTCTGTATATGCTCATGCGGTGAGAGTGCATCACAGCCTTCGAAAAACCAACTATCCCAAACCTGTAGCCCACTAAACCTTAAACAACCAGAAAACACTCCTCATTCTGCGACTGTCATCGATTGCCCATCTAGTACTAGCAAACAATGTCAGGTATATAATATAGAAATCAATGTAAATCACATCTCCGCACTCTCCGTAAACACAACCCACCCTTCAGTCATGGTCCATGTTTGCCCTGACCGCTGGACGGCCTCACAGTTACAGAGCCCACGTCCAAGGACTTGTCGGTCTTGTACCAATTTCGGGTGGCCATCTCCTGGCTGTGGTGAGTTTCCGCGTGTGTGGAATTTGTGCCAAAGGCATGCCAAGCAAATACAGTGGCTGGCACCCCAAGATGCCCTAAACAGATTGTGCCATCTTCTTACAGTACTTCATTAACATATATATACTATATATATATATACACACTTGTTTTTTAATCAGTTGTTTTAAAATTTTAGAAAATGCAAATTAAAAACAATGCCACAACAAAAATAGATAATGATACGCACTCAAAGAAAAATACAAAAATTTGGAGAAACATGATATGAAATAATGATAAACAACACACAATTAATAATATGCTATACTTGTTGGAAACTCGTTGAAACAAGGACAAAAACTACGAACTATTTGTCAGTTAAAAACATGCCTTTTATCTTTGTAGGTGATTCTTGGCAGGATATTGATGCATGGAAAATTAAACAATAAAATGACGCCAAAGACATGGCCGTCACAAATAATCCTCCATGAAATTAATGATGAACCATCCTATTTTAACCTAACATGGTATTTCATTTTCGTACAAAAGCCGGTTTTTCAAACAATGTTGACCTCTGATTAATACGCGGACTGCTGCGGTCACTGTGTCCCACAGCTAAGCAGAGGAACAGCGCCATTGGCTGACCCAGCATCACATCCCACCACACCAGGGCTTTGCCCAGCCCTGCGCATTCACAAAAGGCCTGTTGCTGACAAACCTCAACAAAAAACGTATGTCAGAGTCCTTGATCGAAAGCTAAGCGCTCTTTGGTAACCGTGCAGAAGGATGTCAATGCCGACCATTGCAACACAGCTTAGCGGGCATCCCTGCGGAAATCCGGTGCTGGATCGGATGCCACCACTGCACTGTCCGTTGACGAAAAAGAATCGCGTCAGTCCTTGCAAATGCGACCTCCAGCACTGAAGCAGCCCCTGATCAACACCCCGGAAGGCCAGCGCATTCCAAGCGGGTTCACGCGGCAGCAAATTGTAGGCATTCACAAGGTTGCTTCAGGGGCGTCGGAAGAATGTCACTGAAGAGTGACAATTGTTTCCTCTCAGCCGCAGTTTTCTTTGGCTTGAACATCTTCTCTATGTAAGATACTATTCCACCCCAGTTTGGAGTTCCTGAGAGGGCCGAGTGTGCCTGTGCCAGTTGCAGGCCCTCAGTTCGCTTCAAAACGTTCCCCCAATGTTTGTATGAACTCACTGAAACTTTGAGAAGTTTCACCAATGAACAAGCCGATGCCTTGTGCCTTCATCTCTGTCATGCGTTTGGTGTGTTCTGTATATTCCCTCTTCGTCTTTACCATCTTGGTAGCGATCTTGTCTGTTGTTTCCTCCACCATTGAGAGTCCTGCACCAACACGGTTGTACTGCGTCGTCTCAACTTCCTCTAACGCAAGATTTGTCATTTCTTGCCCCTCCAAAATATCCAGGGACTCTGAGTGAAAGGCAACAAGGACCTTCAAGGCCAACAAAGCTGCTGCTGGTGCGAACAGCCAGATCGTGGAGTGAATCCCGAAAATCAAGTCCATGTCCACCGGTCCGTAGTACTTGGGAGGCTCTTCACAGCCAGTGAGATCGAGATGTACACCGTCACGATCTGTAGCACCTCCCAGAACATCGGCGCTGCCAAGTTTGCACGGTTGACCAACTTCGGCACATTGAATCGCTCCTTCTTCAGGTCCGTCAGCACCTTCTCCCCCTTGTCTTCCGCAAGGCGGGTCGTGAGCTTCTTACGAAACTCAGTCTCCTTTTTCCTGGTCGAAACCAGGATCGATGACTTTGCCTGAGGGCGTCTGGCGACAAGGCTGGACATCCCGAAGAAGGGCAAGCGAAAGTATGAAACGGTAGACGATCACACTGACCTCTGATTAAAAAACGATCACACTGACCTCTGATTAATAAACGGGGGTGGTGAATCTTGAAATCTTGGTTTGCCCTAAATAAAGTTCATCCTAGGTTCCGAGGAAGAATTTAAATCAAACATGAACTGACCCCTGACTAAAGCGAATATCAAAATGAAAGGGAAAAGATTATTTTAACTAGAAATGACATGAACCGGTATTAAAATGCAAGTTAAAACACAAGAGAATTAGTATTCAAATGGGAATTTATTTGAGATGTTTTGAACTTACCTTAAACTCAAACTCAAACTCCACTGCGCTGGAATTGAAATTGAACTGATCTAAATTCAACTGAACTTGAACTGAATTAGGCTTGAATTGGAATTGAACTAGAGTTGAATTCGAATTACAATAGAACTCAATTGGAACTGAACTGAATTGGAACTGAATAGCATTGAATTGGGATTGAACTGCAATTGAATTGACTTGGAGTTGAATTTGAATTAAATTAGAATCAGAAGCAATCTGTTCACAAAGGAATGAAATGATTTAATTTAAGAACTCTCACTCACTCTCACTCTCACTCACTCTCACTCACACTGATTCTCTCTATCTCTCACACTCATATTCACTCACTCACACTCTCACTCACACTCGCTCACTCGCTCACTCGCTCACTCGCTTACTCACTCACTCACTCACTCACTCACTCACGCACTCACCCACTCACCCACCCACCCACTCACCCACTCACCCACTCACCCACTCACCCACTCACCCACTCACTCACACTCTCACTCACTCACACTCACACTCACAGACACTCACACTCACAGACACTCACACTCACAGTCTCACTCGCTGTCACGATCTCCATGACTGCGGGCTCTAGTTACTCGAGCGAAAAATGGACGCAAACGGCAAGGCGGCTGGGTCAGTAGAATTGAAGGTGTTTAACAAAAGTTTGTATGACTGCGCACGTTAGTTACTGAATACGTAGCGAGGGAAACTTGTTTTGGGATCTATCATGAGAACGACCATGGAAGCAAACCAAGAAAGTAGACAGCGTGAACAACAGTTGTTTTGCAGGTGCACACCAAGGCGTCCCTTGGTGCTTCCCCCGTCACATCCCAGCTTCGCTGGGCCAGGTCGGATGTGACAGGCCTGGCCCCCCTGCATAAAAACAAAACCTCCTTGGGACGGAGTGTGACACACACAGAGCGTCGATATCGGCGCTCGAGAGAAAAATGCTAACCACCTAAAAAGCCTTAGAAAGAAAGAACATGAAAAGACAGACAGAGAAACGCAAAGGGCAAGAGAGAAAGATAGGTGTAGTTAGGAGGCCCACAAGTTACGAAACCTTCTAGTTACTGAATACTTAGCCGCATGAATTAAATTAAATGCATTTGTTAGCGAGCGGGGCATTAGTCTTAAACCGCCCGGGTAGCTAGGACTAGGACAGGAGAAACAGAAGGAAAGGTACCGACACACACACAAGTGTGTCGAGTGGTGTTATCCTTTTGGGTGCATGGAAGTTTACACTAGGGAGCATGTATACGCGAGTGCCTACGCCAGGGGTCAAAAGTGTGTGAGGTAGCCTACACGTGTGTATTCCAATTGAGGGCTTTGTCGACGAAATCTACGCGGTCGACTACGCGAGGCCTTTTACACCATGACTTCACGGGTCAAATGCAAAAAATGAAAATGAACAAGACGAGCTTGACCTTCTTTTGAACGCTGACCGCCGGAAGATGGACAAATGTAGTGCGGGAAGCAGCTTCTTGGTAGTACAAGTGTGTGAGCTCTGGCCTCAGAACTGGCCACTTGGTGTACGGGAAGCAGCTTCTGGGAGCTGTCGCCTCACACTAGCCACTTGGTAGTACAAATGCAGTGCAGGAAGCAGCTTCTGGGAGCCTCAGAACCAGCCACTTTGTAGTACAAATGCAGTACGGGAAGCAGCTTCTGGGACCTTTTGACGCTGAGAAAAAGCTCTTTGCGGTTCTTGGGCGTGAAGTCGTTCCATGTCTTGACGGCGCGACTGAAGCAAACAGAAACGAACATGACGACTACATGCTGTTTGTTTGGTTGCTTAAACGGCTCAGATGGATTAAGCCTGCAACACGGTATAGTGGGCCAACCCGGCCAACCCCTCCAAATCAAGTCGCGTCCTACACGAGCATCTACATGAGGCCTACGCGGGATTTGCCTGCCTCCTGTCCATTTTCTACAAATGTACAGGTGCTGTACACACATTCCCGTATATGAATGCAACTCCCCATGCATGCAACCCCCCATATTTCACAACTGCCGCATATTCCTCAAGAGCGACTTCCTGAAACATCTCAACGACTGCTCCACACAGCCACCAAGCAAGTCAACTGAAGAAACATCCATGGTCCATTGTTCTTTCCATCATGTGTTGAAGGTTGTTGACGCATTTCAAGTTACAACTCACAACTACGCAAGCCTGCCTATACGCGAGACACTGCTATGCTTCCGCCTCCAAGCAGAACAGCCTACGCAGCATCAAGAGCAGTTCCACTTTTGTATAAACTCCTTCATAGACAAGAAACACGCTCCTCAATTGCGCCCAGCGGCAGTACAGCCGACACGCTCCCTTTGTTGGACGCATCCAGTGCCTTAGGGTTTGCCATCTTCATTTCTTCTTAGAGCTAGAGAGCCCTTCAACAACCATAGTTCAGGGAACCAGGGTGAAGATCACAGTAGAGGAGCCTATATCTCGTTACTTCTAATGAAGGGTATAGCTGTCCAACGAACTCTTCAGAAAGACAAATTCATTCTTCCGCAGATCACGCCAGGATTGACCATGTTTGGCAATCCCAGATCGCACAGCATTTCTTGAGGTCGTCAAGGCTTTAGAGTCATCGGCTGGTGAACCCATTTCGGTTGAGCCAAATCAGGAACTGGAGAATCAGGAACACCTTAATTGAGATAATTGAGCCAAAGCCAAAACAAAAAATAACAACTCCACCAAAGAAACTGAAAAAGAACAATGACATTTCCGCAGAAGAGCCAATTGCCCACGAACACCGCGCCGACCCACAAGCCGCGCAAGCTGCCCTCGAGCGCCCGCTCGCTCCTGGATGATGGGAATCTCACAACCTGGGTCCGATCTGCGGTCGCTCTGCGCCGGAAAAACGGAGGAAGCAACGGAGATTCCGACCTGAAACCAAGTCATCCACTGAAACCTTGGACGGAAGATGGAATCTGGAGAGGAATCAGGAATCTTCTTGGTGAAACCTCCGCCTCCAAAAGCACAGTGCTATTGATCAGAACTCACCTCCGCCTCAAGCACCGGTGCTATTGGTCTTGGAACAAAGGCTCAGAACTCTCTTTTGCGCTTTGGCCCAGGTGGTCCACCATGGTCCACCCACCGGAGCGTCCGCTCCGCCACCGGTCAAAGGCCCGTGCGGTGTGTCCGGTGGTTCCGGTGTGGCCTCTGGTGGTTCGATGTCTCTCCGTTGCTCGCTTGGGGGGAAGGCTTAGAGGCAGAGGATTAAGTGCCTCGTTGAAGGCTTAATGACTATATATTCCCCAAACACTCCATGTATGCCATATATGCCTACATTGACCTCCAAAACCACCCCAACTGATCGGCATATATAGCATACATATGCATACATGGAGTGTCTGGGTTCGTCTCTTATCCTCTTTCATCCGTGCGTAGTGATGCGGACACGGTCTCTCGTCGATCGACGTGTGCCATGCGCATGGGGATCGATGCGCCATCGACTTGGACGTCGCATGGTTTCGGGAATGGTGTCAGGCAAGAAGGTAAAACAGGACTCAGGGTACTTGAGCAGACAGCCTGGTTTAAAGTTTGGAGTTTAAGAGTCATTACATTTATACATAGTTAACATCTAGTTTTGTATCACTGTCATTTCAATGATATGTCGGAAGGGCAGTTGCCCTGCAACAGCACTGCTTCTATTCCTCCGTTCCCGGCCTAAGGCTGAGGTTGGTCGAGAACTTTCACCACCGGAACTTCAGAAATACATGCAGCTCCCGCTGGGGCAGCAACTACTGGCATAGCAGCGCTGATAAAGCCCACCGACCTGGCCGATGCACGTGGCCAGAACACGAACCGGGTCCACCGGTGTGAGGCGCTGAGCTAGGGAGACCTCCCAGTGAGTTCGAACCTTTGTGAAAGGTTCGGAAAATACACCAAATACCCTCCAACATCCGTTGGCTGGGTGTATCCCTGGTCCCTAGTCACACACACACACACACTTATGGATATGCGTACTGACTTGACAGCGGTGCCACACGCCAGCCTAAGTTATTTAGAAGGCCTGAGATGTCAGGAAATAGTAGGTTAAAGGCCATCGGTCTTGGGTTGGAGGTCAACGCAGGGCTGTTGAGGGCCAAGACCTAAGGTTGGAGGCCATCGCTAGTAGGCGGTGGACCATAGACACAAAGTGACAGCAAGAAGCAAAGTTGGAGGTCATCGCTAGTAGGTTGGAGGCCGGGGTACCAAGTTGGAGGCCAGTGCTACCAGGTTACAAAACAACAAGAAAAACACAAGACAGCCAAGGTTGGAGGTCCTCGCTAGTGGGTGGAGGCATGTGGAGGCCAGGGTACCAAGTTGGAGGCCAGTGCTACAAGGTTACAAAAGCACAAGAAAAAAACAAGACAGCCAAAGTTGGAGGTCCTCGCTAGTGGGTGGAGGCCAGGGTACCAAGTTGGAGGCCAGTGCTACAAGGTTGCAAAAAGCACAAAAGCACAAGAAGCACAAGACAGCAAGGTTGGGGGCCAATCTAGTGGGTGGAGGCCAAAGTTCAGGTTAGAGAACCCCTTACAAAGTTGGGAGGCCTACCTGCAAACCTGTAGAGTAGTCTAGAGGAAAACAGAACGAAAGGCACCGACACACAAGTGTGTCGAGTACCATTTCCGCCTGTTTTCCTAAATAGTGGAACAGGTACAGGTGGAATTTTGCTCTGGCCTCCAATCTCCACCGCTCCGTATCGCCACTTGATTGCTTCACCCCAACCACGCGCGTGCCGAGCTTGCTCAAGGCAGCGAACTTGGTGGCGGGTCTGAGCTCCTCGGGGATTTCCACCTCGCACTTCCACGCATTCTTCAGCTCGTCGTTCACCTCCTCGTTGATCGTCCTGGATCTCGTCGATCGCGGTGGAATGCTGGCGCCCGGCTTGCGGGTGAGCTTCAACACCTCTGCCGAGTTCATCGCTGTTGCCAGAAGATGAAACATCGGCCCCTGTGTGATGGCCGCATTGGCGTCCCCTCCAAGGCGCTTGGTGTAGTCCTCGACCGTCGGAACCAGGTGAACAAATGGCGGGAGCTGGTATTTGATGGTGCTCTTCTTGGCCTCCGACACAGACACAGCCAAGAGCTGCGCCACCACGGTCTGCACGTCCTCAGGCTCCGTGGTCTCCAAGATCCTCACCACTTCGCTCCACCTCGTGTCTGGTGGCAGGCTCACCTTCTGGAGGGTGACCTTCACGATGTCCTGCGCTCCACCCATCCCTCGTCATACCGTAGCTTCATTGCGTACGGTGGGTATGACGAGCCGTACGCCGTTCCAAACCTAAAGGTTCCCTTTGATTCCAAGGGTTACACACATCCTGCCCGGAAAGGAGGCAAGGCACATGTGCACGCAAAAGGGACAGATGAAAATGAAAAGGACGAGACAGACAAAGGTGTGCGTGGTTGCCGATGAAGAAGAACCAAGTGAAGAGGGACAACCGATGAACCAAACTTCATTGTAACGGACGAACCTGGGCCACCTGAACCTCGTTGTAAGTAGAGTACGCGTGCGTGTATGTGTGCAAACTAAGGTCCGGACGAAAGTACGCGCAAGAGAAAGAAAGGATGGGGATGAAGAGACATGAAGACAGAAAGACATGAAAGAAAAGAAGGAATAAACGTCTGTGGGGGCCGATGAAAGGGGAACCAAATGAACGGGGACAAACCGATGACAGCCCAAACCTCATTAGGAAAACCTGTTGCAGAAGCCTAGTTTGCTTGTAAACACGCCGCACGCGAGGAAAGAGGGGGGAGGGGGAGGGAGAAAAGAGAGGGAAAGAAAGAAGGAAACAGAGGTGCTCCCAGCTACGACACAAGCGTCCAAGGACACACCAAAAAGGAAGGGCTCCCAGCTATGACGAAAGCATCCAGGGACACCCTAGGAAGAGGGTGAAGAGAGGAAAGAGAGAAGGAAAGAAAGAGAGAGGGAGAGAAAGGGAGAGGAGAGAAAGGAAGGTGTTCCCAGCTACGAACAATCGTCCAGGGACACACCAAAGAAAGAAAGGGGAGATCCTGAGTATTCCATTCAAGGAAAACCCCAGAAAGCAAAGAAAGAAAGAAATGGGGAGGGAAGGGGGAGGAGGGGGGGCTAAGCGCTCGACAGGTTCCAATGAACCTTGAACAAACTTCGGTCGCTGCGACCACGTAGGGCATGCCCGAGGGCGGCCACCTCTGACCGCTGCGGTCACGTAAAGGCATGAGCCAGCTACTGTCCGCTGCGGACACGTACATCTCCAGGCAGGGGAGATAACGACAAACACCCGTTCGACGGGTCCACGGGAGGCACTCTACGGGCTCATCCCGGACTGGCACTGGGCCAGACACACTTATGGATATGCGTACTGACGTACTGACTTGACAGCGGTGCCACACGCCAGCCTGAGTTTATTTTAGAAGGCCTGAGATGTAAGGAAATAGTAGGTTAAAGGCCATCGGTCTTGGGTTGGAGGTCAACGCAGGGCTGTTGAGGGCCAAGACCTAAGGTTGGAGGCCATCGCTAGTAGGCGGTGGACCATAGACACAAAGTGACAGCAAGAAGCAAAGTTGGAGGTCATCGCTAGTAGGTTGGAGGCCGGGGTACCAAGTTGGAGGCCAGTGCTACCAGGTTACAAGACCACAAGAAAAACACAAGACAGCCAAGGTTGGAGGTCCTCGCTAGTGGGTGGAGGCCAGGGTACCAAGTTGGAGGCCACAGGTTGCATGAAGGGGTGAATGAATTTTGAATGATGTCACTAATAAATACTGACTTCACTAACTTTGTCATTGTCATGAGTCATGGTCATTGGCCAGCAAGCAAGCTGGCCATAACGGAGGCTTGTGGTGTGGATGTGCTACTCTTCCTGCCCAGCTTGTTCAAGACCAAAAAATGGAAGTGGATTCGTGATGCTCAATGGGCATGTGAAGCAGCATGCGGGGCTATGCCTGCAGCACTTGTGCGGTGGAAACCTGCGGCGCAATTGAGGAGGACCAGCTGGGCTGGCGATCGAACCAGGTGGCGCAAGGTTCTCCAGAATCGTTGGTGCTGAAATACCTCAGCGCCAATTCAACTGGATATAGGGTGATGAACTTTCTTCACATCATTGTCATTGGTTGTTGCCATGGCACATTTGTCATGACATGGGGAAAAATCCCCGGCTCAGGGCCGCCTCTGATCAGATACTTGCCATTGTCCATCTCCGGGAGCATGAAGCACAGGTCATGGATCGTGGAGCTAGCAAATCCACCACAGAAGGTCAACTCTGGTGGCCTTGTCACCTTGAAGTTTCCAACGAGACAATTTGCCTGAGCTGAAATGGGGGCCAATCTAGTGGGTGGAGGCCAAAGTTCAGGTTAGAGAACCCCTTACAAAGTTGGGAGGCCTACCTGCAAACCTGTAGAGTAGTCTAGAGGAAAACAGAAGGAAAGGCACCGACACACAAGTGTGTCGAGTACCATTTCCTCCTGTTTTCCTAAATAGTCGAACAGGTACAGGTGGATGATCAGTCCACCCATCCCTCGTCATACCGTAGCTTCATTGCGTACGGTGGGTATGACGAGCCGTACGCCCCTGTTCCAAACCTAAAGGTTCCCTTTGATTCCAAGGGTTACACACACACACACACCACTTGGATCGCATCGGCATGCTGTGACGTGCTGCGACCAGAAAAGAAGTTCTCTCGGCAGCGCGACATCAGCGAGCACTGTCTACAAGTAGGTGATGCGACAGGGGTTGGAGAAGTTCGACAAAAAAATCAACAATTGGTTGATCATTAACCCTGTGTAAGCTTGTCGTCAACCTGCGGGCCGTCGTCAGACTCCAACAGGGCAGCAACCTTCCAGCAGGTGATGTCCTTTTGGGAAGAATAGAGGGATCGGTTTGGTACCATTTACCGTTTACCTATTAAAACACCACTTGGGGGTATCCATTCTATTCAACCAAGCCAAGGGCGTAGCTCAGGCCATCGGTCGAATACGCTTGAGACGCCAACGGACTTTCGAACAGGAACCGCCCCTCGGTCGACCAGTCAATCTGGGTCGCCCCCCACCGTCTTTTCCGCCAGGTGCAACCTCAGACACCGCAGTGCCAGGTCGTCGCGTGCGTGAAATGGTTTTGGTCGGTGTGGAGCGGGACATCTGCAGGTGAAGCTTTATATCAGCTAAGTTGAGACAACTTTGCAAGGATGAACTGGATCAGGGCACCTACCCCGCGGGGGTTTCGGTACTTGGGATCAGGATGGATGGATCAGGGCCCCGACAGGTCGCTAGGTGCTGGACCATGAAACAAATCATGAAGCCTTTCTGAGACGAATCAGTGGGATGTCAACCTATGTCGAGGCAAGTTTCGATCCGAATTTTCATCCTCACCCAGCGGGGGTTTCAAATTAATTCAGCGGGGGGAACCGGTCGTCTGCATGCTTCCCCCGGTCGACCTTTTTCTTTGGGAGACATGCGCCGTGGGGTGAACACAACTCAGTTTCATGGGGATCTCATGGCGTTTGTATCATATTGTATAATATACTATGTATACCCAAACACTCCATGTATGCTATACATGCTGATCAGTTGGGGTGGTTTTGGAGGTCAATGTAGGCATATATGGCATACATCGAGTGTCTGGGATATGGGATCTCATGATGTCTGTATTCTGTATCTCCGAAGCATCGGCTTGCCGGTCCTCCAAAAGCATCGATTTCTTTCTGATGTTTTCGGACGGACTTCATCAAACCTGTCTTCATCAAGCCACGTTGCTGGGAAACCCGATATTTGTAGTCAAGGGTCCAGATTCGAGAAGAGATTGGGCAACAGACACCCCAAAAGCACCCACCCTGGCCCACAGAACCAACCGGAGGTGGTTGCCATGATATTACAAGATGCTTTCGAGTCAGATGAGAACACGAGACATTTCAAAGATTTTCGACACGGAGTCCCCAGAGCTGGTGGCGTCCCTGGAATCTGCTGGTGACGAACGTGAAAACACCTGAGAGGTCTTGTGGGCTTCGGACATCGGTGTCGCAAAAACCGAGAGCTGGAAGTTTGCCCATCCGGTTGTGAGCAGCAAAACATCTCTTCCGATTGGGGTGGGTTTATTCTTCAAGAGTCTACATTGAGGTACAATGTTAGTACATTGGTACACTGAACTGCAGTGCGCCCATGCAACCGATGTTTCTGAGAATAAATCAGCTGATGACGCAACCAACGTTTACGTCTTCATGTCCATACAATGGAAACAAATGGAACCGATGACTGTAAAGGTTTTTGGTGTGAACCATCCAAGTTGGAGTGGATCCAGCAAGTCTTCAAATCGCATGAAATCCCCCAAAACACATGCGGCTGGACTCGACCTGACCCAGTCGCAGTTTCTGTCTTTCTGTCTTTCCATTCAGTTATCACAAGAAATGAAGCACACAGTTCCGCCGCGAAGAAAAGCGGTTCTTTAAAGCTTATTTTCAGACACTCCATGGGACTGACCCATCTACCTACATTGGCCTACATTGGGGTGGTTTGAGGGGTCAATGTAGGTAAATATGCCAGTCCCATGGAGTGGGGAAACCGCTCTGCCTCAAAAAAGCGATTCGTCACCCGCGTCCGCCGTCCACAGCTTCCGGCCGCGAGAATCGCCCCGCAAGGTCCAGAAGACCGCTGCTGGGCATGCCGCGCCCTTCGCGAGTGGAGCCCGGATTCCGGATCATGTCCTTAGTGGCACAGAGAGACGTCCCACAAAAATTGGACACTTCATGACACTTCCTCCCAACCCCACCAAACCCACCGACTGCCGAGTGCTCCAACCCCAAGACTCCCAAAGAGCACGAGAAGTGCCACACGTCTCGAAGTACACTCTGCCAAACTAGCATGACTCATGACCAACGTTCATGAAGAGGCTGAAGAGGTGAAGAGGGAAAATATAGAACATGCATGCAAAAACCTCCCGGGCGCCATGAAAACCGCGCATGTGGTTGAGTGAATTTGTATTGCATGGAGTGAAACATAGTCGGAACCTCGAACACTGTGGTTTCTAAATGATATATTTTTTTGATCAGTACTACAGTACCTAGAAATCATCACAACTACAATAGGATTCAATTTCACGCGGTTTTACACTGTATTTTACAGTACTCGGGAGATCTCGTGTCATGAAAGCGGTGGTAAAATTTGAGTCCACGAAACAAAGCAAAAATAAGCAAACACTGAGAAGTATGTGATAGAAGAACGTACAGTGTTGCCATGTAAATAGTCAACAAATAATGTATTTTACAATGACCATGATAACATGTAGACGGTGACGATGTTGGTCCCAACATGCAATCTATGATGCCGGCACTGGTAAAATGCGCGCGCCTACACGTACGGTGTTCATGCCGTTGGCAAACACATTTTGACAAAACGACTGCATTTCCAAACCCTCCAACACGGCAATGCTTGTTGGTCATCACTCGACACCGACAAGAGTTGGCTGAGATTTTGTCCAAGTAGTAGACTTGCCCATGGAAGCCATCCTGGGCCGTGAAAGTCGAGAAGAGGTCAAAAAGAGATGGACACTGAGGCGATCTCGCAAGGAGGTTCTATGCAGCTGCCATGTCATCTAGAGACTCAGGGTCCATGTCATTCGTTTCGGCATCTCATGTCTTTCTATTTCGGACCCTACTCTGGACCTGCTCGGCTGCTTTTCTACGACAGATTGACATACCTCCAAAACGGATGGGAACAAGGACATATGAAAAACCATGAAACCACCGACGATCAGATTTCCGCGCTCGTCACGTTTTTCAAGGCAATCCTCACGCAGGTGGGTGGCTTTTGCCCGTCCAAAGACGGGACCCTTTGTGGCTTTTTGGACAACCCCCCGAAACTTGGCAGCAAACGGGACAGACAAATCCATCCACCCATCCGCCCGTTCAGGGAAGGCTCGCCCAAGAGGTGTGGAATGGCCAGCTGAACATCTGAGAGAGGGGGGCATCATGAAGTGGATGACAACAACAGGCTCCCGAGCCGTTCCCTAGCAACGCAAAGATGATGCCTTTTCCACCTGCTAGTGAGAAAACCAATCCCCACGAAAGGTTGAGGGTTATCCACTGGGGACCTGCCCTCACTTGCACAAGACGACTGAGACAGTCACCGCGAAGGGAATGCTTTGAGCGTCATGATGTCGAAACCACGACACGGCGTGAATAAACGGCGCCCGGGACCAGGGAGTGTCTCCAGGACCTGGGAGCCACTGGGAGCCCTTGCCACCTGTGTGCTTTTGCACAAGTTCTCAAAGTTCTCATAGTTGCTCCACTTCATCTAGCGTGTTTCACGGAGGCGTGAACGGAGGCGTGAACTGTGCGAGCTGCACGCAGTGACGAAGAAGAAGCGTGACAGGAACCGTTGATTGGCTGATGGATCTCGAGGCAGCTAGATCGGCTTTCTTCGACGCGGAACTTGATGGAATGGATCTTTCACATCCTTCCTGCTGGAAACTGGTTGAAAGGACCTGGAAAGCGCCATGTTCCATGTTGTTCCATGCCTATATGGATCCACATGCACTCCCTCTGAGTGTTTGATTGGAGACACTTTCTGAGGTGGATCGGTGGATTTTTAGGGGAAACTAATTTGCAAATAGAGAACAAACATCTTCCCAGTGGTCAGTTAGTGAGTCAAAGGGTAGATCTGAGGATTTCCAGCCACAAAATGGTCAAAACTTTGGCGGATCACCTAAAGCTCTTCCCCCAACACCCAACAAATTCGCTTGCCACAACTCAGGTGCTGGGTGCCTCTATATCGGATGTCCCTGAATCCTATAGTGACAGTGACAGTAGCAGCGATGGATGCTCAAATAGAGAGTCAGTCAGTGGATGGGGATGCAAACTACGAGGTGGCAAAGAGAGAACTGATTCTCAACTGAACTGATCATTGGAATTGGATGGAATTGACTGAACAAAAATCAGACTGAGTCCCAGAAAGAACCATCCATGTCAAACTTGTATGAACCTAAATACATCCGGAAGAAATACATGAAGCATTCCAAAGCCTTCAGTGCATCCGTGGTTATTACGGCACCTGAGGTAGACAGTTGAAAGGCGGTGGAACCCACTTGGTTCCTGGACGAATCAACCTCTCCCGTCTACCACGCACGAACAAACAATCCAAAGTCTCCAATCCCAACACCCGGTGCGTGAGGTTGACAACCGCACAACACTTGTGCATTGAAATAGGAAGACCTCCCGGTGAAAGAACCCCCTGGAAGAAAGAACGTATACCGAAACCCATTGGTGGGGCAACTGGAGGGTAGCCATTGCATGGGACGCATGAACGACAAGGAATTCATATGTGTCGCCACATAGTACTCTGCATACTCTTCTTCCGTGTGTAGAATGGGCATTTCAAATGCGACACCTTTAGGAAAGAGATGTGAAACTTGGGCTTCAGTCAAATCAGCCAAAGGGTCATTGAGAACAGACTCCAAAGTCGCCTCTTCTGCTTTGGACTTCCTTTCTTGCATGAGATCCTTGGCTTCATGGTATGCCTCCGAAAGGGCTTCCCAGAATAAACCCGGATGTATATACATGCCAAGACGGGCATCTGAAGTCAGAGGCTGCAATGCAAGCTTCCAATTCACTGCGTGGCAGCTCATCTTTATTCATGATTGCTTGCGCAGCAACTCGAATGGATACGATTGGGTGCTCTGACTGGATCTTCTCGCAAAGGTGGGATTTCAGCCAGATTTGCATATTGCTTTACTTCTTTCCCCAGCCAAGTCGTTTCTGTGTTGCAATAGCGCAGCAAATCTGGAGGCAGCTTGCTCAGGATTTCTCGCATGAACGACATAGGCCAAAAAAAACATTAAACAACTCCCTTGGTGGGGGCTCCTCCTACAAAAATGCACATGGGCCGCAGACGTGGGCCGTGTGCTTCGCACCACCTCCCAGCCCCGGCATCCAGACCGACAGCCTCGCATGTGCAGGTGGTCGTGGAGTTGCTCACACAGGGCCCACAACTCGGTGCGGCCGCCAGTCGTTCGTGCAAGCGCTAACACTCCATGTCTGACATAGACGTGCCTAGACTATAGTTTTAAAACGTGTCCTTGATAAAACCAAAGGGACAAACCCATGTCCAGAGTTTTGGGGTTTAGGAAATGGTTAAACAGTTAGGGTCCAACAGTCATAATGCAATTAGGCATGCCTGGACACATGGACTTAGAGCTTGATCAAACAATTTGAAGCATCTCCACCAACTTGAGGATTGAATAGCGGACAAGTTTCATCGCAAACTACAATGACAAAACCTGGGGGTTCCCTTCTTGGTAGTTCTACATGATGTCATTTCTTTCCACCAATCAGTTGCATCATTTGGGTGCATGAGGTGCTCACCTTTTAGTATCCCACGAATTTTTGTGCCACTTTCTGCTCCACCGGTGTCAGCGTGCAAGTGTGCGTCTCAGCGCCAGAGGTGTGCTGGCACACGACAAGACCGACAAAACAAGACGTTGTTAGGCCTGTGCAAAGAAGACCCCACACGCCTGCCCCATGTACCTGGACCTTCAAGGGGTGGTCCAACGGAGATCCCGGATAGTAGTGTAGGGGCTTCCATGGGTGACCCCTTTGAAGGTGCTGCTAAGCAAATATGGACAAAAAACAAAACATCCAAGCCATCAAGTGTAGACCATATTTTGCACACATGGAGGGTGTGGGGAAGGTACTTCGGGCGCTTTTGAAATTTTGGGGGGCCAAGACATCAACGGTCCTCCCAGCTCTAGATCCCACCCTCCTGAGCAGAGGATCACTCACTGTCAAGCAGTACGTGCCCTCCACTCCTTGATCCAAGTCGTGGGTCTCTTTTTTGGGGTCTGCAACTCTATCTATCACTCACAGAGCGTCTCTACGATGGAAAAGAGTAAATGAGTGAAGCTCCAAAGCGTCGGGGCTTGGACATCGCGTGAACATCTTCGGATCGCGTCAACTCGATCTCTTTGAAGAATCCCAATGTCTTGCGGTGCAAACAGTCCGATGTTTGTCGGTCGAACGTCATGAGGTTCTACGAAACGCAATATGGGTGAGTCTGCCGTTGGAAGAACCCGAACATGAATGAACTGTTCTCAAGGTAGACCGCATGGAGTGGGTACACTGCGCCAGGCGTGGCCGTAGGTTTCAGGCCAAGAACACCAAATGTCTACCAACCCCAGGGCCCTAGCTACCTCCGTTTTTGGTTCGGTGGGCCAGGGGTGGGTGGTCTTGGGAGGTCTAAGCACCCAGGAGCCCTGCGCAAGGTCAAAGCATCTAAGAACCGCTGGGTCCTCCGCAAGGGTCGGGCCGGTTCGGGCCCGGAGGTTGGACCCGCTGGTTTTAAGACCTGCCCCTACACTGCCTGCGTGCTGCTCTGGTGTTCAGGTGTTGATCTGGGATCGGTCTGGTACCAATCGAGTGGAAGGCGCAAGCTGTCTTCTGCCAAGTCAGGCCCAAGCTACTCCTCGGTCGATCCTTCCTTTCCAATCTGAACATCGTCTCTCTGGCCATGAAACAGGTGCCATGTGGTGGTCTGAAGTCCACTCTCATGCATAAAGGGTGGGCCCAGTCTGACGAAAGGTCCAAACCTGGGTCAAACTGACCCTCCTTGAGTCGTGTTTGAGTATGACCAACTCTAGTATTTTATGAGGTCAAACCGACCTGTAGGGATAGGAGCCTGGTCCGCATGGTGCGTGCTGGGAAGAAACTCAGCCGACTCATCACGTCTGATGATGGAAGCGTTGGCAGGCTTTTGGCGCCTTGTTCTTTGGCGCCTTGGGTATGAGTGGAGTTGGTGCTTGCAAATGGACACATGCTTGACTACTATGCGGAATCTCTTAGTAAATAGGAGGAAGCAGGCTGATGTCTGAATGGTCAATACGCGAGGCTTTAAGATCCCCACAACCATGCGGTGAAAACGCTTGCATCTTGCACTAACATCCTCAATTTTAACCTCGAGCTTTCCTACCCGTATCTACCGTCAGACCATCTAGTTTCCAACAGACTACCCTGATTGCACGTGGGCTTCCAAACAGGGCACCCAAGGATGCTCCAGGAAGAACTTCCTGGAAACCCAAACAGCCAAAAAGAAATGGATGTTTCCCCAGTCCTAGCCATTTCCTATGTAAAGGATCCCAAGCAAACCACATTGGAACAACCAGTTGCTTCTGTTTGGGACTGGGTTCCCAGGGTTGTTCTCTGGTGTGTGTCGTGTGTCACGCGCGTGACGCGCATCTGCGTCGCTTCTTCCAACAGCGAATCCTGAGGCCCGAGACTTGGGGCCTGGGGTGACCACACGTCCGTGCATCAGGTCCTGGAGCGAGCTCACAGGCGGATCCGCAAGCAACCAAGCAACAAAGCGGCCAAGCGGCCAAACCAAAAAACCATCCAACCAACCCAGCAACCAACAAAAACCAAGCAACCAAACCACATAAGTCAGTGTTTCCCTAAATGCTGTCGATACTTGGTTTGCATTGCGGGGGAGGCGCTGAGCCCTCCCCAGCACGCCCTCCCGCCTTTATCTACAGGGCATCCATCCATCCATCCATCCATCCATCCATCCATCCAGCAAACAAGCAAAAAAACAGGAAAAAGCTGCATATCCATCAGGCACTGTATCACGCAACCCATCAACATCAAGCAAACCAACCAACCAACACACCAAAAAGTAACATGTTTCTCACTGTCCGTGATCCCTCGATCACTGTATCACGCAATCAATCAACATCAAGCTAGCCAGCCAACCAACCGACACACCAACCAAAGGAAGGAGGGTGAAAAAGAAAGGGTAGAGGGTGAACAATGACGGTTCAGAAGATGAAAAAGAAAGGTGGAGAGTGGAAAAAAAGGGCAGGGTGAAAACACAAGGGTTCAAGGGTGAAAATTAAAGGTTGCCCAATAGAAAATCGAGCCCCTTCCACGGGGTATCCTTGTGACGCTTCAGTGGATTGCAGCGACTTAGACTGATCCTTCGGCACTCCGTTCCGCCACGCGGCGGCCACGCGATGCTACGCCTTATTGACGTTCGGGGTCCCATGGAGTGGCATTGTCGCTTTCGGTGCCGCCGAAGCGAAGGAGCAAGTCTTTTTGAAGCAGAGGATGACAGATGCCAAACATCTGAGAAAGGCCATGGTCCAACCAAAAAGAGAAAGCGTTCCACGTCCACCTGCACTTACCTTCGCTTTTCATTGAGCTATGTTCCACATTTACATAGGAGCACCCAAAGACGTAGCGATTATCCTTCACCAACTTCCTTGTGGATTCGACTGGTTGGCCTGGTAGTCAGTCCATGGGGCCTTCACATCATCAGACTGGTGGCCATGGCTGTGGCTCTGGGCCTCCACGGCCTGGCTGCGGCTCAGGTTCCAGTGGGTTTGGATAGACGTCCGCCGCACATAGATTTGTTGTAGGCGCTCGCGAAGCTGCATCATTTTGCGCCAGTCGCCCTGGTTGGCGTAGCCCCACAGCTCCTCATGATTCATCCAATTTGATTTCATTAAATGATCCAGCACATGGCAGAACTTGAGGAGGTGGGCTACAACATAGCCATTGGTCCAGGCATCATGGGCTGCCAAGGATCGCAGTCGGAACCCTATAAATCCTTCCAGCAGGCAGTGCACAGTCTGCTTCTTGCTGAGAGATTCTTTCTCTAGCCACCTCCCGTAGAGCAGACCGGCCAGCTGACCGACCATGACCTCGTGAAGCTCTGGCGTCGTGAGGTCCTGGTAGATCCACCATAGCAGGTCAAAGGTGTCCAGGGCATTGGACCCGCCCATGTCTTCAGGTGACATGCTCTTAATCGCTTCCACCACGCTCAGGTCCACTGGATGTGCAGGTGCATCCATCAGTGCTGGTGGCAGTAGTGCCATGGTGGTCGAGGGCTCCGTATTTTCGGCTCCTGGAATCCGACTTTCGGTTCCCTAGCGTCTTTTTTTCCTGGAATCCGGTTTTCGGTTCCCACCGGTGTTTTGGGTTCCCGGCGGTGTTTTCGGTTCCCGCCGGCAAAGTGTTTTCGGTTCCAAGGGTGTTTGCGGTTCCCAGCGGCGCGGCTTTGCAGTTCCCACTAAAAGTTTTGCTGTGCCCTCTTCGGATTTTTGTTCGCGGAGGGTTTTTGGGTTCCCGCATGGGTGTTTTCGGTTCCCGCGCCCGGTGGCAGAGAAAGACATAGCCCGGGAGCGATTGACAGTACGACCGATTTTCGGTTCCCGCGTGCGATTTTGGGTTCCCGCGTTTGGTTGGCTAACGGATTTGGGCTTTTATTTGTAACAACGACCGCGGTTTGCGACGGTTATGTAAGGTGAGGCTTTTTGCATCCGTTCGGCGGAATTTTTTCTAACAACGGTCATGTCAGTTATGTGAGGCGAGGCTTTTTGCATCGATGCGGCGCATGAAGAGGGTTGTTTTTGCGACGGTAAGGAACCAATACTGCTACTACGACGAAGACGACGACCACGACTATTCTTACTATGTGTACAACAGCAGCAACAACAACAAGTACCAGTACCAGTACTAGTACTAGTAGTATGTATAGTAGTAGTAGTAGCAGCAGTAGTAGTAGTAGTACTACTACTACTACTGCCACTACTACTACGACTACTATACTAGGACGACGACGACTACTACTACTGCTACTACGGCTAGTATACTGCTACGAGTACGACTACGACGGCTACGACTACTACGACGACAACAACAACTACTACTACCACTACGACGACTACTACTACGACTACTACGACTACGACTACTACCACTACTACTACCACAAGGTCCGTGTTACTTAGGCCAGAACAGTTACTTATAAATTACTTACAAACTTACTTATAC